AATTACAACAAAACAAAGAAAAAAAATTCAGATTACATCTTTTATTACAAGATTTTTTATGTACAGAAAATATTGAGTGATCAAAATTGCTTGCAAAATACGGTCAAAAGGACATCACGCGGTGGACATGACGGAAAGAAAAGATACAGAAGCGATCGGAATGCCGCGTAATTCATTGGCATTAGTTATAACGCGAGGGTTGCTTAACAAATAATCATTGTATTCGCCGGCGTGACTGACCAATCGCTCCTCTCTTCCATAAACGCTATATCGATGAACGTCACAAATCCTTTTTTGGATACCGCGTGTAAAATCACACGAGTGTCGCTTTCGCGTATGGAGATTCGACCCTCTCTCGGTCTCTTGTCCCCGCGCTCGTTGTCGCTAATTTATGCATAATATGCAAGCTCACATATACGCGTTACGCGTGTTTGTGGATCCGTGCACGTGCGCGCGATACGTGACACGAAGCAATGAATACGCGACAAGCTCGACGCTTGTCTTCATGGATAGCACGCGCTATCATCGTCGATATATCCATAAAATTCAGCCTAAGGACCTACTACCTTCTTTCGTAAATTCAAATGGTGAGAAGGCTACGATCGAATACAATTATTGAACTTATGTCTTATTCTTATAAGTGTTCGACGATATGGTTAAAATGTTACGACAATGTTCTCATACATGGAAAACGATTTCGGTTGAAGATCTAAAATTTTATTGGATATAGCTCCGAAAATAATTTCGTTAGACCATTAAAATAATTTTATTGGAAGCTCAAACTATTATAGAATATCGAAATTTTTTGCAGCATTGCTTATCGTTTTTTAATTTCCAACATAAATATTTCGATGGTTCAATACAATTATTTTCAGACCTATGTATATCCGGTAAAATTTGGAATCTTTCAAAATCGTTCTTTCCTTTGTGAGTTATAATATCCAAGAAAGAAACGCGAATGTAAAATGAAATTTTTTTTGCCCTTGAGAAATGAATTGCAAAAAAAGACATACAATTTCCAACGACTGATATTACTGCTTATTTCAATTTGAAATTGAAATAAGTCTTGAGATATTACAAACGTAACTTAGCACGGTCCAATTAGTGAAGTTGAATATATGAACAACGTCGAAGAATCTCGGAATTTATCTGAATTCTAATAGCACAATTAAAGCTTATATAGTCGACTCAGTTCTAAATAATAGAGCGATACATCAGTTCCAACACGAAGAGGTCGAAAGCGAGGATAAGCGAGAGTCGAACTAGAGACCTCGAAGAGCTGTGATACATAACGTAACAGTGCTTTAGCAAGCAGAAATAATGAGTCTATTATACGGATGTCTGTGTTGGTCGCTTTGTAATGACGACGTCCATAAGACACGTACATACGGTACCAGCCAAGCCGGAGCACTTTGGCATCATACGTACAAATATCAGTCAGAGCTTGCCAAATTCTTTGGTCTGAAAAAAATTTGTCTTTGATATTTTATACGATATCTTGGCATTGGTAGATGCCAAAATATCATGTCAAGTATCCAAGATAGATTTTTTTCGTTCCTTTGACACTTCATTTGCGTCTCAAAAAAATAGCAGGGCGTACATAAAATATGTACATTATTCTTTTAAATTAATTTTATATATTATCGATAAAAAACATATTTATTCGTATGTATAATTTCTTTCGAAAATAAAGGCACACAATTCGAAGCGTTTTTTACTTTCAGACAGGAGCGAATATGGGGCTGCTTTTTTTATCAGATGTAACTGAATAAATTGTTTTTGGGAAATAAAAATTAATTAACGTAATTATAAAAAAATGCCTTCTTCGGTGAGAATTTCCAGCGGCTAATTCAGTCAGTTTTAATGTGGTAGTGGTTTCATTCTGCCTTCCACGTAGATGAGAACGATTGAAATCGGGATGAGGGATATATATGAGCGCATTCATTAACGTCCACGTACACGCGTAGGTATAGGTAAGTGTATGCGTGCGCGTTATATCGAGGTAGACACACGCACGGCATGAGTCGGCGCGGAGCGGGCGAATCGTCTCTATTGTCCGCGGCGGAGCGTGTAGAGGACCCGACTTTCCCTCGTTCACCCACGGTCACTGCTGCAGTGACGTAAGGCCCCTCGGCTAGGGTAATTGTTACCCGTGCGCTACGTACGAAGACTCGCTTTATAATGTTCTCCTCCACTCTCCGCACCGTTCCATTCTATTCCATTCCATCCGTCGTCCTATTGCGCGTGCCTCCGAGTCCGACATCAACGCACTTGCGATTGCAAAGTGGAGTGCACGGATTACGGAACGGCACGCCAGGATTATCTCCCATTGATAAAGACTGCGTTATAGTACGCGAGCAAAATCGTAGTTTCAGCTGCCGCAATTGCGAGTCATCTCTTTAATCTTCTTTTTTGTTTCGTAATGTTCCCTAACAATGAAACGAAAATACATTAAGCCACATGCTTATAAATTCATTTCTTTCGTATATCAGAACTTCTTTACATAATTAATAACTTAAAATTATTATTAATAAATAAAATACATACAATTCTCTCTAAAAATGAATCAGTGCTACACTTATAATTGATGTAATCATCAGTGAATATTTACTGTTTTTCAGTAATAATACACTGATTCACTTTTAGAGATTATGATTTTCTGCAGATTCAATTTGTAGAAATTTTTAAAAATGAATCAGTATATCATTGATGAAAAACAGTAAATATTCACTGATATTACAGTTATAAAGTATAGAGCATTGAATAATATTTACTGTTTTTCAGTAATAATACACTGATTCACTTTTAGAGATTATGATTTTCTGCAGAGTCAATTTGTAGAAATTTTTAAAAATGAATCAGTATATCATTAATGAAAAACAGTAAATATTCACTGATATTACAGTTATAAAGTATAGAGCATTATCGTCAGTGATAATACAATGATTCATTTTTAGAGAGAATTTTATGTAATTTATTTATCAAAAATTTATTAATAATAATTTTAAGTTATTAATTATGTAAAGAAGTTCTGATATACGAAAGGAATTAATCAATGATAATACACTGATTCACTTTTACAGCGTTCATTTATTAAAAATTTGTAACGCGTTTTGTCATCATTTAGAGACTTGAGAAAGTCAATTAAATTGACTACAAATTGTATAAAAAACACATTTTAACATTCTTCCGCATTTTGCGACTTCAATTTGGTAATATTAAATATTAAAATACTCTATTCTAAACGCAATATAGCAAGTACTATTGTAATACGTTAAAATTCAAGCATAATTCATAAAAGCCGCAAACGTTTCGTTAAACGCACATTGAACGTTGCTATTTGGTCTTTCGACAGCAGCACGTTAATCTATTGTGCAAAACGTGCTTGGCGAGAGTTGATTCGTCATGTAATGATGAATTTGATTTTACAATGGATAAGCGCATATGGCGAAAGTAACTCGGTCAAAGCCAGATAAATGATCAAACTTTAATACTTGAACAAAAACTGGGTCACACGCGCTTGTGCAAAAATTCTTCGTGTCATAATGGGCGCAACGGGGAAATTTTTATATGACCATTGCGCCAGCATTAGCGTTGATATTTTCACTCGGCAATTCGTTCTTCCATGCCGCAAAGAAATTAAAACCGGGTTCGTGACCGGTGAATAATACGATTCTTAGTTCGAGCACACGCTAGCGAAATCTGGTCGGCCGCATTGCACAACGTGTTGTACATTTTGTACAATAACAAAATCATTGCGCAATAAACGCTCATCAACTCGGCTTCATTCAACAAAAGTTCTGCAAAACTTGACGCGCCATCCTTCCCAATAATCCTTGCCGTTTCGCGGCCGCGATTGGGAGACGATTGGGAGACGGCGCGCGATTCACGAGATTGTACAAAACTCCTGAATGAATAGAATAGCTCCGCGAGAGAGCTATTCCAGACGATTCCGTAAAAAAAAATGAGAAAAAAAATGAGTTTGAATGTAATGCCGCGGGTAACTTACATCATCTCCGATGTTATCTCCGAACCTATCGTACATGATTGTGGGATAGTTCGTTTGTTATTCAGATATTATGTAGTGGTGTATTCATCAAGAATTCAAGAGTGTGTGAGCCGTAATAAAGAGAATAAGTTTTTCAGGTTCAACAATATTCTCGTGATTACTGCGATATGTGAGGAATATAATGGACAAAACAAAGTGTTACATAAAGGCTGAAGACGCCGACTAATGGGTGGCCTAATAAAAATCTGAGTTTCTCGTTCGGGCTCGAGAAATGGCTCACCCCCCCTCTCACTCTTCGCGCGCTGTAACGAGCCGTATCGTAATCAGCCCTGAGAGAAGTCAGACGTTTGACGATTCGATTTCTAGGCATATACGCGCCGGTGAAATCGCGACCTGTCGCCGACGCGGTAACCCGCGGTACGGCGACGAAGAAATGCTAAATGAGGAACGAACAGTGACGATAATGAGAGGTTTGTGTTTGCAACACGTGCAAACGCACCAACCTGAGAGATGTTATCAGCCGTCCTGACGTAACAATGAGAAACTCCTCCACGCTTTCGTTTGTACTTGCAATCGGGGAAATAAATAAAACGCGCCTTGTCGCGCAATTTAGCGATCCCTTGCATATGCGCGCGAATAATTATCGGTATCGGAAAGGAAAGAGAAGCATCGATGTTGTAGGAAGTGAGGCTCGCAATCATCTGGCACTATCGCCGATGATAACGCTTTTTATGCGCGTGCGGGTTTGTTACAAGGAAATTAATAATGTAGCTTCCTATTTTTTTTTTTTTTAGAGTAATGTCACGTTCGATATTTTGCGACGTAGGGATCCCGCGAGAAGATTTCAAGACCTCAACAGTTTGGGATTGTTCTATAGAAATTTGTTTTCTGTGGAATATTGATGCAAGACGTTGCCTATGGGATTCCTACAAGCCCGAGATAATTGTTCGCGACGAAGGAAGGTGGAGAGGAATAGTAAAAATGGACTTACCATCGTTATGATACTGTCTCGATGGCAGGGACACCGCGCCCGAAGAGGGTTGTATCGGGGGTTGTTGTTGCGTACCGCTCTGAGGAGGACCGGAGGAGTTGGAGGTGGTCGAATTGGCGGGCGTCGGCGGATTTTTATGTTCTGGTGTTGCCACCTGATGGCCGCCACCCTGGTATCCCAAAAAATCACCTAAATCTGGCACGCATACGCTTTCATACAAGTTCGCCGGCACGTTCTCCAGAGAGGCCTTCGCTGCGTCGACATCTAAATGTAAAACGGAGATAAATCCTCAACCGAGCTGCACGTTTTATTCGAGTGCCTTCGCGAGTTAAGTAGTTAGGTTCGCGCCATCTCCGTTTTTATTGTCATCTGGACCCGTCTCGACATTCGCGAATTTTTTTAAGTACTCGTCAACGTTAATAATATGCATTGACTAAAGAAACTGTAGTTATATTTTTGCATTTATTTTGTATAATTAACATAAAAAAAAATTATTATCGTCTTATATAACCGTTTCTCCGATCGCAATGATTATTTTTTACAAGAGTTTATAAGTTGAACGTGCATCAGTAATATATTAATCTCAAATGTTTATTTAATAATATTGCAAAATTAAATTAAATCTGAATAATAATTTTAAAAAATTTAAACACGTTTATCCGAGTGTTGATTGACCCGTTAACTAAACAACATTATTAACGATAAAAAAAAAGGAAAAGAAGCTATATGTATTCTAGTATGCATCGTTCATTATTCACGAGGCATATACGCCTCGTGTACACATAAATGGTCACATATACCTCATGGACAATGAACATGGTTAATCGTAATAATTAAGCCCCTTATCTTCACGTGATAACAGCTATCGCGGCGGCATGTGTGCCCTAGTAGTTTTTCAGCGTGTGTTGATTACGACTGGAATAAAATGTTGCATTTGTTTGTCATTAAGTGATTCCCCGTTAAGTAGATAGTTCCGCGCATCGCGAATCGCAATCGTAATTAACGATCTGGAGTAGCACTATCATCATCGCGACTGTATTGCGAAGGAGACGTTCGCCATTGCCGTGATTCATCGTCAGTGTTTCTACGCTTCTAGGAATTCTCGTGAAACAATCGTCGACTGAAAATGTAAAACGACATACGTGCCATGAATATTTTCTTATTTTTACATTCTGTTATACTTTTTTGCTTTTAATATGCAAATAATCCTTTGCTGTAATCACTCTCTTTGGCATTATGTTTATATGCTGTCGACTATTAATTATTTATGCGAGCAGTAGGGGGAAAAATGGAGATAAACTTTCTGTTAAGAGGAACAATTTATATTATACCGATTTTTCAAATATTAAATAATTTTTATGTTATCAGTACCAAAAATTGATTTATATATTAAAGAAAATTATTTAAAATAAAACTCAAGTTTATTTCGTAAATAAAGATGGCTTAAAAATTGATTCGTAGATCGTGTTATCTGCATTGAAAAATTCGATTTTTTCAAGATTTCTCCAAGCGTTGAAAGAAAAAAAAATAAAAGTTACGTTTTTATCGTTTATAGCAAGATGTAATGTTGAAATGTGCAAAGTGAAGGGTACGCGAATCCGAGAAAGATATTTTCTTTAATCGAATAATTATTTAACCAAAATTAGGCAATGGAAAAATTTGTCGATTAATCCAAGCTTCCATCCGATACGGTATACAAAGGAGATCGATCATTCGTCTCTCGACGATGGCGAAACGCATCGCATTAATGAATTTCACCGTGAATCCGATCGGTATCACCGCGACAGGAAGATACAACTTTTTAGTTTCTACTTTTTTATACAACGCAAGAGCGTTTCCTAACATCCGTTCTCATTCGCGGAATCAAAGCGATTACCCACGTCGTGTCGCGACTGCGAGCGTCGGGTGCACGCTAGGCTTCAGTTAAATTACCGTCGCCTCGGTCAGAGGGATCACGCGGAGCGGCCGACTACATCGTTCACAATCGTAGCACAATAACAAATTGCACGGTTGGAATGTGGAAAGTACGATGACGATGGCGATGATGCTTTTATTTCCTTTCCTTGCCGTTTCTACTGTCCGCAAAATTACGTAGCTATAATGTATCTAATATGCGCAGGTAACAAAACAGAGTACAAATAGAGTAGCTTCAATTATAATTGTAAGAAGGCCTGGCGATTCATCAAAAATTAATTTTAGAATTTAGTTTAATTTCGATATAATTTTAATAGAATTTAATTTAATATTAGAATTTAAATTTAAATTTTTTTAATTTTAATTATTTTTTAATTTATCGATAATTTCCGGCAAATCCTACATTAATATTTATTTATAAAATTTACATCTTATTAATTAATATAAAATCCGTTTTGTTATTAGAATGTGTAAATTATTCTTTATTAATAAGAAATTATGTTACAATGACGAACTTAACGTTAAGAATTCTACTTATTTACGCGCTCTCTTTCGATACGAAAGAGAAAAAGATTATGTATTCGAGACGAATCTCGAGTTTTGTGGTGAGTTACCGTTAGTAGTCGTCCTTAGATCGCGTTAGTCGATTAAGTCGAGGTTTCAGTGCCAATGATGAGGCGACTTGAATAATCGATAAGGAAGTACGGGGTTTTACTTAACGGGAGTTAAATCACACAAGCGAACCTCCGCTTCCTGCCGCATCATTTCGTACGATCTGCTTTTATCTATCTAGATCTATTCAGCTCCTTCCCATCTGTATTCTTATCTCTTCTTAAGTCTCCCCCTTTAGTCATCTCTTCCAGTTTCTATCCTTTCTTTTCCTCTCTTATTTTCTATTATCTCAACGTTTTTATTTATCTTATCCACAACTCATTTATTATGCTCAACTTATTTATTTTATCCAGTTTTCGTTATGCAATAGATACAGCTTTTGATATATTTGACAATTAATAAGACATTAACCTCGATTAAATATTCTTATCGTTTACTTCAATGATTATATGAGTATATAAATATATAAAAAATAAATTACGTATTAAATTGTGCTGATACATATATTGTACAACTCACATACTGTGAACTCTACTCTCTAAACTTACTAAATATATATCGCCATAAAATATAGCCAACTTAAAACGTTCTATGAAAAATAAACATTTCTATTATCTGTCAAATAATTATTCGGAAGATAATTTCGATGCCTTTCCGATTTTATAAAAATAGTCACAATATGTGTGTGTGTGTGTGTGCAAACATAAAATTAATGTTAGCTAATTTACGAAAGAAATTGATAATGAATGAAAATAGGATAGCCTAAATAAATAGTAAGTCGGTTTTAAAATATAGGCGCTAAATAAAGGCAATGGTGTGAATTACTTTTCTGCCACGTAAAATTTCTAGAATTTATGTGAACATTTTAAATAAATTTATAGCAAAGCCCTTCCATGTATTTTTCCACGTGCATCGTTTCTCCACTTGCTTCGGTCTATTCTACACGAGAATATAGATGTACCATTTCTTTGAATTTTCTCTGCTTTTTGTTGAGTCTAAAACGATCAAACGACGCATTTATGGCGAACTTGACTTGCTGTTTTGAGCGCACGCACCATGAAAGGACACGGGGATCTAATAGGAGGAACCGGCCGAATCGAAGCTGCCGGCCATTGACGGTACGCGAGATCGAAATTCGAGTGAATTCTTTGGTGCACGCGAGTACATCCTCCCGAGAAAGCGTCTAAGTGGCCGCGGCAATGGCGCTGCACCATTTCGGCGGATATCCGGGATGAGAGTTTCTATGGTGCTCTGTCTTTCTTCTCCTCCGTTTCATTCTCTTGGCGCTGCGTGCGAGGTAAAAACGGGGGTCGATTCAACGCTACGAAACGGGAGAGTGACACGGGAGGAGGTGGAGGAGAAGAGAGAAATGGCCACCACCCGCGCGCACCGCCCCATCGCTCCCGTCATTGTTCGCCGGAGTCTTTTTGCTCGTACGTTGTGCCGTGACATCGCGATTTTACGGAAATTCGATCGGTTTTGTCGACGGACGGCGGATGGTGTGCCTGACATAAAAAGTGCGTAGCGCGCGCGGCGAACACTTCTTGCGCGATTTGCGACACCGGGGTTACCGGTGAGTGCCCAACGTGTAAGAAACGCAAGACTGATCGCAATGTTTACTTTTAACCAAAAAAATTTTTTTTGTACATTACAAATAGACATTGTGTAGTATAAATAAAAATAGAATTAATCAATATTCTCTTCAATGCTAATTAAGATAAACAACATTAATTGTTAATCGTTGTTTTTTTCAATTTTTGAAATTTTACATGCATTGTGATACTTTGTATTAGAAACTTTCCGTTGATAATCCGGAGCTAAGGTGACTGCAAAAAATGTTCGTGGTAGAATAATAATTACTGGAATTGTTTCACGATATAACAGATTATCAGCAGCTATTCGTAATAATATCATATAATTATCACGTAATATTACTAATATAGTTGGCAGTGCATGAATCACACATAACTGTGTTCAGATCAACACTGTGTCCGGTCGAGTAAGCGTATTATAAATACTTTAGACTAATGATTTGTCTCATCAGGCTTCCTCGCACAGATCCCCGTTCAAGGATGATAATAAAAATATCTTAAGAATCAAGATTAATCGATAAAATAATCACGCATTGAATTCAACAGAAACCTAAGGGGCGTTCGAGGTAGACTGACGGACCCGGTTGTGCCGTTTGTATGAGGAGCACGCACCTTTCTGTAGGATCTCGAGATGCTCCCACAGGATGTCGCCCATGAAGGCGGGGGCACGTGCTAGAAAGGATTCCTTCCCCATGGCACAAATCTGTTTCCCGGTCATGTGCTGCCACGGCTGTTGCTGCATCGCCACACCCTCCAGCGAGAATTCCCTGATAGCCCAGTGCATCCAGTGGGCAACAGCTGCTTCCGACCATTGCCTTGGGTCTGGAAAAAAAAAAGAAAACAAAAATAAGAGCCGGATTATCTTTTCAGCGACTAGTCGAGTTTTCCGAAGAACGATCACTACGTCGCTAATTGCTTTGTAATCTTTCAAAAAATATTATTTGACATTTTTTGACAGAAAGACCCTTTCTGTCAAAAAATGTCAGAAAATTGACTTCGCCTTATCATTTGCTCTTAACTTTACATTCCAAGTGAAGTTTAAGGATGACTTTTCGCCTTTCCCAAACTTCTTCATTCGAGAACGAGGGCATTAAGACGTCTGAAAGTTATCGAAGGACCAACGGACATTATGTCGTCATTTGTGACAGCGTGATCGTTAGTCGGGACCCAAGCCGACCATCTTTGGTGGAAGCAATACCGAGAAACATCGGAATGTCCCATTTGAGGTGCGCGCCCATATTTGCACGCGTGTCTTGCATTGTTTCGTGGTATCTCGCTGCGTAAAAGTACAGTTGGGCTCATAATGCAAACAGGAGTTGCCAGCGTAGCGACTCGCTAATGTATATAGTTTTGCTCGCACAATCTCCTAGACGTCCTTTAACACTAACGTGAGCAAGATGTTCGAAAGATCTGAAATCTAGCCTCGTAAAGTTTCGCAGAAAGGTTGAAGTAATGATGTTTCCGAAAAACCTGGAAAAAACCGGATCTCGATATTTCATTTAGTTTCCGAGATATTCGATCTATTACGTTCGAAATCTTTCACTCCGTACACTTGTACTTTTATGCTTTTACATCATTACAACAAGTGCAGAATAATATTACAAAGTATACGTTCCTTTATCATGAAAAAGACATTAAAGGCATTTAAAAGAAAATAGAAATAATTGACTGTGCATATGTATATACATTGTATTATTAGAAATATATAATATACACGTTATTTAAATGTAGAGTAAATTTTAATTAAATAAAGTACCTTCACTTTATCTTAAAAAAAAAAAAAAAATCAATATCAAATAGAAATTATTAAAAAAGAATTTAAAAAAAAGGTTCGACGATAAAAATCATTTTATTACATTGTATTCTAAAGAAATACTAATGGAAATTCTTCTCTTTTTCTTACATTTTTTCAAAAATAATATTGCTGAAATAAACTTTTGGCCTCTTCGCCAGATAAAATCTCTTTGTACACAAGGGTGCAATGCAAATAAACGATAATAAATTGACGATAAATGTTTTTTCGACATTTATATAAAGATAGAGAATTTTTAGCGCGTGATAGGACTGCAAATTTAAAAATAGATAGGACTGCACATTGGAACGAGCGACGTTATTCGCGGAATCGATAAAGTACGAAATAAATTGACGTCTCTCGCGTAGGCTAGAATATAAATATAGGAAGAAAAAGTGAACAAGTACCGAGGCAACAAGAGTGTCTAACAGCAATGGTACGGCACGTTCAAAGCGACCGCCGATGTTTGAGGATCGTACCGATATTTGCCCAACTTATTTCTCGTAAGCGTTGTTAGCAGACTTTACACTCTCTTTCTCGCCTCGCATTCGAACACAAGTCCACACTCACGTGTACGTGCGTGCTGCACACGTATTTTCTCTTACTAGTCGATTGCTGCATACATAATAGACCCTCATTATTAATATATTATTTTTTATTCTTCTTTCTTTCCATTTTCATCAGATACTAAATAACAAAATTAGGTACATCGTTAACATTTGTCAATGGTATACCAACGACAAATATCAACGACAAATATCACCTGCTGTTATGGTATTGAAGAATGTAAGTAAAACTTTATCAAGTATATCTGGGAATTCTTTATAAAAAAAACGAGCAGATGCTGCCTCAAAAAATATTAAAGATTGATTTAAATATTTCTTGATTGTAATGGAAGTAAAGCACGAGAGATATCCATCCTTATACGTCGAAGCATATTTACGATTGTATTTATTATTCAAAAGAGAGATAGATTTTGAATAAATCATAATAGCGAATGTGATATGACGCGTCAAACGTTATTGTGAATGCATGATGCGTCTTCTTTATAGTAAGGGTACGCGTTTTCATATATATATTCTCCGACGACATAATACATATTAATAGACTTGAGACAGACGCATAAATAGATTTTTTAGCAATCTATGAATTTTGGAGCGCGGAGAGCCTAAATTCTTAGTTTTAATTCCTAATTTTTGAACTAATTACAAACGAAAAATTTTTGTACCTTTTTTTTTACGAAGAATAAATTTCGCTAAAATCAAGTAAACACTCGTTTCCAAGTTTCTTTTTGTACACATACTATTAATATACTTTTTATACTACTAAGATACTACTAATAACGCTTTAATGTTTTCTGAAAATAAAAGAATCAGGGTCTCAGGGTCGAAGTGAAATGGCAAGAGGAGCAGGAGGTTGCTCGTTCGGTTCACGGAGGTCAGACTGTAGGTGATCTGGCCTGGAGGGTACGAACCCGGGGCATGTAGACCGGAAGTAACGTCACACCCGCGTGGCTCTGAATGCGCATACCGGATGTGTGTGGCATCGGCTCCCCATCAGAACCATCAACATCACATTCACAATTCCTGCACATCGCCGGCCGCCTCGTCGCACATCGCGTCACATCGCGCGCACCCGCGTCTACGCGCGTCTCTCGCGCACGCACGCACGCACGCACGCACGCACGCAAATAACACGAACGTACGTATATACGTGCGTGCGTATGCTGTCTCTCCCTCTTCTGTGCGCCTGCAGCGATTTTTTTAACAACTTGCGCGGTGAGGCGGTACGAGGCTCATAAATTCCAAATCGTATAAACCGTCATAAAAGATCAGAGATTAATATTTACGCTCGTAAAGTGATTACTATTGCTGCAAAATTTGTTGATCTACTTAAAGTTACAATTGTAATCTCGAGGCGCGTTAAACGTCGCGTAAATTTCAGTTTACTGGTACTAGTCTAGAACTTATAGGTTTTACAATTTTATAATAAAGACACTGTAACTTTACCAACTTCGCCATGCACACATTCGATGGATGTAAAAGCATGCTTTATAATTTCGTGACGCCTTGTAATTACGCGATTTTACGAGGAAAAGGTGATACGATTATTTTAATTAAGCTTATATGGGCTATGTTTAAGAGTAATCACGAAGAAGTATAATCAAGAATAATGAGAATAAAAGAGAGCTGACCTTTAGTTATATTCAGGCGGAGTCGTTCCTTTTCCCAAGACGCGAAGGAGGCCTCCAGAGCCTCAGTCATCTTCTTATTGGTCCCAGGTGTTAACGGCGGCACTTGCGCCGGTATATCTAGAAAAAACGCGAAGATACATTTAAATATACTTTGATCGTAATTGCATTTAGATCCCTTCTCTTTTTCTTTTTCACATCACACTATCAACAGACATTGCAACTTTCTGATCGATTGATGCGAATTAATTTTCTCTCGTCTCCTCCTATTTGACGCTTATATTTATGTAAACAAAGATATTAATTTTATCTACATACAAAACGACTGTTAATAATTCAATATTTTTTAAATCTAATTTTAATATTTTGCGAAAAAATATTGTAAAATGCACTATAAATGTATTAATTTATTATATAGCGCAGATACCTGAATTTCTCAGAACGAGAATTCCGCACGCACAAATCTGATACAGATTCTACGTCACAAATTTGCGATACATAAGTGTTCGATGACGATAAGTAAACATCAGTACGTTGATTCCCCCTACAGAAAGCAATAATAAATAGCACGGCTTTATTTAAAATAAAGGTGCATCGTGAAACGGATTCGCCGGATCAGCTAAATGAAAGATAGTAACGAGGTAAAACGGGGAAAAGGAGCTTAAGAGCGGCTTAGCCCTCCCGGGCTAAGCATATGAGAAGGCGGATTAATATTGCTTCTCACAAGCGAGGCGCGCGTGCAAGCCGCGTGTATGCCGCACGTGTGCGCGAACGCGCGCGTTTTACGAGTGCGTACGTGCGTCAGGTGTCGCGCGCACGGCTACCAGGACGGGGCGCGGAGCAACGGCGAAGCGAGCAAAAGTGAAACGAAGGGGGCACACGCACAGCCTTCTTAGATAGCATCGTCATAAAGAGGGGTGCAACTGCCGCCAGAGCAGGCAGGTGCATCGCCGTCACCGCCGCCGTCGCCGTCGCCGTCGTCGCTATGCGCTTGTTCTACGACCTTACGCCACCGAGCGAGGCGAACGAGAGACGGCACTTTACGGCACTTACGCACTGTTCTCGCGATATCAGCGGCGAGGTACAACGATATCGGAACGTCTCGTCCGTTAGTAACCATGCGACTGTATAAGCACGAAGAATTTTAATTGCCCATTTCTACTAGTGTAAATTAACAAGTCTCGATTTAATTTATCATGAAAAGGACGATTTTGCTGAAGCATTGGAAAAATTAGTTGTTAGATACAAATGATTTTGTTGAGTGTCAAAATAATTATGTAGGATGCTGAACATTTTTTGTAGTATTACACTGAAAAAAATTTCTGGTTGAAAATGGACGAATCAGAAATTTCTGGTTAAATTTATTAGAATTCTAGTTGAGATAACCGGAATTCTGGTTGATACTATATTTCTGGTAAAATCTACTAGAATTCTTACTTTTTTTTTACCAGAATAATTATATTAATCAGAATTCTAGTTATCTCAACTAGAATTCTAATAGACATAACCAGAAAATTCTAATTCGTCCGTTTTCTACCAGAATTACTGTTTAATCCAACCAGATCATTTTTCTCAGTGTACTGTTTAAATAGCATTATTATTTTAATGGTCCAACAAAATTACTTTCGTATCTATTATTATTTAGCTAAATGTTTAGATACTTTAGCAAAATCGTGTTTTCCATGCACTTTTTACCTTTTTCCTAGTTCTAAGAATTAGAAAAGATAAGGAATAAATTAAACCAAGATTACAGTTAATTTACATTGATAGAAATACATATCAGGCATTCTAATCTGTTCTAGATGCGTCAATAGTGGAATACAACACGTTAAAGAGATTATTTCTGTCAATAATTTGGTAAACGGAAACCGGTTCCAAATAATGTCGTTTAAGAAAGCTAAAAGTTTCCTGTTTATAAAAGATTTTAATGAGGCAAGCTTGTATTTTTGATCGTCGAAATTGTGCCCGTCCGTTTAAGGATAGCCCAAAGATAGGCCCTCGCTGACGCTGTTCAAATGCGTGACGAACGTGCGAGTGGTGCGTCTCGGACGCGAGGCGATCTATTGAAAATTCACGTGCCAACGGCGCAACCGCGGCCATGCGAGTGGAATTTCAAATCGAAGGAGCGAAGTTTCGCAGGAACGACGTTTGCGACTCTACTCTGTCGCTTGCGCGCGGACGCTGCGTATAATCGGGATTATGCATTTCGATTATTAAGTATTTATTTCCATTGTTAATAAATAAATGTAATCCCCTCTTTGCGTCAGAAAATAAAAAAGCGCACTAAGCTTTACGTTTCCTCAACGATGACGGTAAAACATCATCCCTCGTTTCGCATAGAAAGTCGTAAACCGTTAAGTTTACGAACATTATGCATAGAACCTTTTTTGTAGAGAGTTTAAAGGGCTTCATTTTTTGTTTGAAACTTTTTTTTGTGAAATCAATATTTTCTGAGATATGCATTAAAAGAACGAAAAAAAAAAAAACGATTTTTTGGCAGTTTTTTCAAAATGACGGCCAAAGTATGATTGACCGCCAAATTTTATTGTCAGATTCGTTTTCAGGAGCCAAAAATATATGGAAAAAATGTATTTGCATTAAAATTGTAGATGTTGTAGCTTTTCCGAAGTTTTACCAGTAAGGAAAAATTTATCCCGGATTGGATAACGTATTGCGACGTAAAAGAAAAAAGTATATAAATCCGGACTTAAATGTGTAAAAATCCAAACTTAATTACATACTGAGCTTAATTCTAGGTATCAGTTGATTTTACAAATAGAACGCATTCTATATAGTATGTGTCGAGTTTTATATTATATTGCTACATCGCGTTATAAATCAGAGCGGTTGGTATCTGTAGTGTATCATTTGTAGCCTGAATGTAACGGGGAGATCGAGATACCGCGATACATTCGCTGGCAGGTGCTGCGAGTTGATGCATCGCGGATTAACGAGTTTTCCTTTTTTTCTCTCTTCGTTTTTCTTTATAAAAAGTATTTGGTTTACCGATCGAATCGATCGATGACGAGTTAAACGGAGCGCGATCCTTTTTACTTAATCGAAATGGAAATTTAAAATACTCGAGGCCCGCGACCCAAGTGGCATTTGACCCCCGACACGTTCAACATAAATTTGCATAGCTTGCGTTACTTGCGGCGATCGGCGCAATGACCAAGTTATATACCTTCTTCAAGTAATTAATGCCAGCCGATAAAATTATTTTTCTTATCCGATAACCTTAGTTAAACCTTAAAGTATACATTTATAGTCAGGAATAATTAGATACGCTGAATTAGACATGCTCTGCAGATTATACGAGAAATCTACAGAAAAAAAGAAGTAGTAACTGTGAATACATGTTGTTTGTTAATTCATTGGAGATAAAAACTTCTGTCTCGAGTTTCAGAGGGGAACAACGAGCCTTTAAATATTTCTCTCTCTCTCTCTCTCTCTCTCTCTCTCTCTCTCTCTCAATCTTGTAAATTTTTTTATAAGAATAGTATGAAACATAAAAGTCAGAATAGTAATTCATGGGCATATATTATGAGACGTATCGTTCAAACGGTTATTACAAAATCCATTAAAGGTATAGAAAGTATGTAGTTATAGTCTTCCCGTTTCTGCAACTGTTATTTCTTTCACTTGCAAAAAACAAATTATTGCTCGAAATATTTGACATTCCAAGATTACTGTTCTTGTATTTTATATATATATCTCCTTTACTTGCGTTAAAACTGCGAAATTACATTTATATATATAAATATATATATACTTTCTCTCTTAATTATCACTCAACTATTATTTTCTTATCTATTATATTTTTTTAAGTCATTAAATGATTATTAATAATTTTAATATTTTTAATCATTCCTAATTTATAGTATCTCGGATTATTCATTTATTATTTATATGATTTATTGATTTACATATGTATTAAATTTATACAATGGCGTGCAAGTTTCCGGCCAATGACATTTTGTACTCTTATTTATAAAAAAAAAGCCTGATATGAACTTTAACCATTATCAGGTGTTAGTATAAGATGTGGGTAACGAAATCTTGTACTAACACTTGATAATTAAAATTTTATCAAGCTTTTTTTTTTACAATCACTGGCCGGAAACTTTTATACGCCACTGTATATAATAATTGCTACATATTTCATTGATGCTAATAAAATCGTTTTTTATAAAAAATAATAAAATAATAAAATGGATATCAAATTAAAAGAATAATGATTATTGTTACGAATTCTGCGGTTGTTTAAAAGAGGATAATCAAGTCGTGTGAATGTTCTATGAAAGCAGCTCCAAACCCAAGCTTCGCGGTTGTTTATAAGGAGATTTTTTTCTCTCGTCCATCTGGAATATGCTAGGGTGAATGTGTAACCTTCACGAGTATAGCCAACACGAGGCACGTGCTACCAACGTCTTCTGGCTTATCCCTCTTTCCTCTACACCTCAAGAATACTCGGCAACCAAACAACTGCGGCAGCTGTTCTGAGCAAGAGAGGAACACGTCTCCAAATTCGTCTGTCGTTCTTATTTCACGTCAAAAATTATTATTCTCCGGATAGCGTAATAATGTACTAATGCTTGAAGAAACGATATCAACGAAATCAACGATTGTTTTACGAAGCAAAAAAAAAGGATAAAATAAAAAAGCATGTATTTTTTATAAAATTCTGATTGTAAAACCAAAATTATTGTACCTATTTGTTTTACGTAACGATCTATGTATGACAGGAAAACTCAACGTAACAATTCATCAGTCATAATTTGAAAAACAACTTGGGATGTCAGACTGTCAAATCATGATGTCGAGTAGAAGTTTGGGAAAAACCTTAACTTCGCTAACGTACGTTAAGACTGACAGAAATTAAAATTGAATATCGTGAAGTGAATTAGAGAGAGGTCGGAGACCACAACACGACATCCGTTTGTACATTGCACTAAAACCGAACTGTGTACAAGCGCAAGTACGAGCACGTGTTAGTATCGGCGTGCCACCAGCCCGCCTTTCCGTGGTATACACCTGTTGCTCCGGTCGGTGGCTCTCCCGCGCTCGTTTGGTTTCATCCATCGCATCGCCTCGCATCGGCGTGACTAGGCTGTAAGGCC